GATACAATAGATGATAATACTTTATTGTTAGATGCTTCTGATGATTTGGATTCAAATTCAGAACTGTCTTGTAATGTTCTGGATAATTCTTCAGATGACACATGTAGTGAGGTCAGCTTCGATGAAGACTTGACTTCTGCTAGAAGTTTTATTGAAATTGATGTGGAAAACCTGCTTCTTCCATGTCCCAGGTTTAATTTTACTGGTGTTCCAGCAGTAAATATACAAATTGATCATATTTCTGATGAATAAAATTGTAGAAGAAACAAACAGATATGCGACACAGTGTATCCAGTCAAGCACCGCAAAAAAATTCTCAAAAAGTAAATTTTGGAAACAAACAACTCAGGAAGAGATGCATATATTTTTTGCTCTGGCTATACTCCAAGGAATAATAAAGAAGCCTGAAATTGATCAGTACTGGAGTAAGAGACATTTCACATACACGCCCTTTTCCTCCCAAATAATGACTCAGCGTCGATTTCATCTTTTGCAACGATACTTACATTTTTTGGATAATTCAGCATTTGATGCACAAATTCACGAATGCCCAAAATTAGTGAAATTATGGCCAGCTTTGAAACATCTGAATGATAAGTTTCTTTTGACGGTGACACCACAACGTGATATAACCATAGACCTGTTATATACTAGACCGAGTATCGCCATTCAAAACCGGGTGAAAAAGCGGCACAGGAATGAGCTGCAGGAGTTTGGGCACGAAATGGAACTCAACCCAGACTTTGGCGTACTATCGCCATGGCTGGTGATTTTTTTTCCCTTCTTTTCTCTCAGTTTGAAATGCGAACTTAGAAAGATGTCATTTCGCAGAAGCTGCCCTTGAATTTGTGGAAGAGGTTAAATCGATAAACACCAGCCAAAATTAATAATTACTCTAAAACTGGACACTTTATTTTAAAATTTAACAGGATAATTTTCATGCTGTAGAATAACATTTATAATGTCCATCGGCGTCTACAAAATTAAAAATAATAATAATTTTTAAAAAAATACTGGAGAGAACAAACTAAATTAATAATAATCTGAAATTAAAAATACAAAAATTTCAGTGATAGATTCAAATGCAGAACGATTCTTGATGAATTTAGTATATCGTAAAATATAAATTTTATACAAGGAAAACTTTTTATTGTAATTAACTTCAAGTTAACTATAAATTTAAGGAATTTTATTCAATCATAATGCATATATTATAATGAATATAACTAAAAAAACTTGCATTTTCCAAATAAATAACATCTAATGACATTTAATCAGAATTACATATAACTTTCTTTATAATACAGTAAATGCATAAAAATAATTAATTAATACATTACATTGACACTAAAAATCAGAGGATTTTAGCCTCAGAAAAATTATAAGCCTAAAAATTGGCCATGAAAAATCAATAAAGTAATTAAATTTAAAAAAATAGAAGGTTTTTTAGTACTTAGGACAGAATAAAAATAAAAATAGATAATATAAGAAAAATGAGTGAAAACAAATAATACAAAAAGGAAATTTAATGTTGATACGAAAAGGAAATTTAACGTTAACACGTGTATTACAGAGAACTACAGAGTAGGCAAATCAAAGTGAGAAAGGATATTAAATTAAATGAACTAAAAATGAATGTCAATATAAGCAGATACAAGTTAAAAGGAAGAGAGAGAGGTAAATTAATGAAACAAAAAAGTGATAAAGTAAGTAAACTTTTACTAGCAAAAATAAATATATTATGCATGTTGCACAATGTAGTCGCACTTATTTTAAATAATTTTAGACGGTAAAATTTAAAAAATGTTCATTATTTTTAAAAAGAAACTTAAAACTATTAAAGTTTTGAAATTAAACTGCTATATAACGAATATTTTCTTAATATTAAAATAAATGCCAGAAACATGATATAAGAAAGAAAATACGTGATTGAAAGTAAACATATTTGTTATATTTAGATGCAAGAAAAAGGGGTAAAATAAGGTCATTCATGTCAAAAAAAAATAATAATTTTATGCAGTTCTTACACAGTGTATTACATCCACATTAGGAAGTATTAAATACATACATTACTACTTAGTACATTTCCGCATAAGCAAACGCAAAGAATATATAAACAAATGCATTTAAAGCAAAGTCTGTTGGCATATAAAAAATGTCACCAAAGCAGAAAACTAGACTAATTAAAATTATATTATTAAAATTTTAACATTTTTTCAGAACACAATTATTAAAAACATACATATATATTAAGATACTTTTATTTAAATGTTATTTCAAGTATGCGTATATTATATAAAATTAGAAAATTTATTTTTATTAGAAAACGGCAAGTAGAGTGGATTAAAAAAACCTCTACATTTTGTAAAAAATAGGGTTTAAAACATTAGAAAAAGCTCATCTGTGAAATGTTACTCCTCCGCATTTCACTTATGTGGAATTACATCCATATGCGGAGCACGAAAGTAGAATTTTTGAAGTCCGAAACAATGCGCATACTCGCAAAACACTTGCTTCTCACAAATTCTCCATAGAACTGTAATGGTAACAAAGATTCGCGGGAAATACGATCTAGGAAATGTTCCATACGATCTAGGAAATGTTCCATATGTTCCACGTGACATGTTCCATATGTCACGTGGTTCACATTTCTGTTTCCGCTCAGAGTTGCCGTTTCTCTCTCTAATGCATTACAGCTCTATGGATGTAACTATCGATGAAAGCCTTATGCTTTTCAAAGGAAGAGTAGGGTGGAAGCAGTATATTCCCCTAAAAACAGCAAGATTTGGAATAAAATGCTTCATGCTGTGCGAATTGATTTCTGGTTATGTGTGCTCTATAATAATATACACAGGCAAAAACACAATTCTGAAACCAGAGTTTTCAAATCTATGTATTTCGTCACAAGTTGTTATGACAATGATGCATCCGTTACTGCATAAAGGATATTGTCTTACGACGGATAATTATTATTCGTCACCAGAATTAGCTGATAAATCAATTTTGTGTCGAACAGATACATATGGCACCCAGAATCTAAAGAGAAAAGAAGTCCCATAGGAAATACAAAAGAAAAAACTAAAAAAAGGAGAAATCATTGCATTTCAGAGAGGAAAAGTTACTGTTATGAAGTGGATGGACAAAAAAAAAAAAAAAAAAAAAAAGTTCCATTACTGTCTATTATTCATAATACTGGAAAAGTAGAAATACAGGTCCGCTCTGAAATGAAACAGAAACCAAAAATTGTTATGGATCACAATAACACGATGGGAGGAGTAGACCGCATGGACCAAAATTTGAAAAATTTTGAAGTCATTACAAAGAGAGGAAAAAAATATTATAGAAAATTTTTTTCCACATTTTTGATATTGCCGTATGGAACTCGTATGTCATATATTGTAAGAAAGGTGGAAAGAAAATGCAGTTACAGTTCAGACTTGATCTTGTTGACAGAATTATCGAGAAATACCATTCTGGGATTCAAGAATATGGAAAATATGGACGACCTGGTTCTGAGCCTAATGTTTTGAGACTGACCGAGAGACGGTTCATAGATGTTATTGCTCCAACAGAGAAGAAACTGAGACCTGCCAGGCAATGCATTGTATGCTGTTCCAGAAGGAATGAAAGTGGAAAGAGAATCCGAAAGGAAACGGTATTTCTGTATTGATTGGGACGTAGGACTTTGTCTAACACCGTGTTTAAAATTGTACCACACGAAAAAGGACTACTCAACAATAGTATTGAAATTATGAATTCTTAACATATGGGTAAGTTTATTATTATTATTATTATTTATTTATTTATTTATTTTTTAGATTCGCAGTTCGTGAGATCTGTATAACAATCTTCACTGCATAAACTGTGTGATTACAAAAAGCCAACATGTAGGGGCATTTGTGTTACAAAGTTATAAAATAAAAAAATGCTTAAATTCATTATTTATCAAATTTTTTTAAAATTCTTTCATTTTCCTTTTATACTAAGCCAAGACTTTAGGAAGACGTCCACATTAGGAAGTATTATATACAATAAAAAATATGCTTTTTTTGGAACATTTTGGAAAATAATTGACCAGTTAAGGGGTTAACTATGACATAACAAAATTGTAAGTATAACAAAAGGTGTAGAAACCAAAATTTTAACAAATTATTAAAAAATACTGCTCATAAAAGATCTTATATATTATTTTAGCAACCAGTTTTTTCACTATAAAACCTGCATACTAAATATTGGATTATCAAGTAATGATGAATTGCGCATCAGAAACATCAAAGCAAAATGGCAAAGCACTCTGGGGCTATCTGCCTAAGGAAAAGATGCCTTTGTGGAGGATTTTCTACAATAGGCAACAGAAAACATAAATGTTATGTTACTTAATAATTTTTATTCAGTGTTCTCCATACCTGAACACAGATTGGTCTTTCACAGTCCATAAGCTGTGACTTGCAGAAAATGAATAAAGAGAACAATTTATTATTCAAGAGTTGTGTTTGCTTTTCAAAGATGTATCCCAAATCCCTAGAAAGGTGTGAAAGCTCATTTAACAATTTAAAGCCCACCTACCCACTTAAAATTTCAAGCTACCATATGTGAAGCTGAGTTTTAACTTCTAAAACTGGAAAATACTGTTTACTATTTTAATTAATTTACTTTTTGCTACTTTAATTAATTTTTACTATTTTCATTATAACATACAATGAATAAAATGCAATAATAATAACTATCAAAACAGAGGTAAGGAAGAAAGTTTAAGGGAGATATAAACAAGTTAAAATAATAAACTCATAAAAAATTTCCAATAAACAAAACAACAACAAAAAAAAAAAAAAAAAAAAAAAAAAAGATAAGAAGATGCAAATTAATATTTAATGCAACTTAACTGCCAAAAAAAACAAATCTTCAATCATGAAAAGCCAAAAAGAAAGAGATGAAAGAGCAAAGTGAAACAGGACAGCAACTAGCCATTTAGGGAAGCAGTCTTCCCACTGGGCGCATACATTAAGTCGTCCGCTGCAAATATTCTGGAAGAGTCTTTCTTTGGTCCCCATGAATGGTAATGTTCCACTGAGCAATGTATATAACAAAACTCCACAACTCCACACATCAGCAGGTTTGCCATATGATTGCCTCTGGACAACTTCAGGTGCCATAAAATGAGGTGTTCCAACTCGGCCTAAAAAGATGGAGCATGCTTTATATAAAATTATTGTCAGAATTTTGCTGGCATATTAAAAATAAAACAATTAAAGGGAAATAATACAGCCTGTATAAATGTCCACTGAAAGATTATTCATTATTTTATACTATAAATAAGAAAGATCACTATTATTATTCCACCTGCTTCACCTCTCAATGGGCACTACAGGTCAGTCATGTTATTCTGATCATTGCTATGGCAACCTATTTTGGTTGTTTATTTTTTCAACCTTATTACAGATAAACAGTAGTTACTACTTTTGTTGGGTGCTCCAACTTACAGCTTTTTGGGAATGTTAGCATAAAATTAGCAAAAAGGGTTAGTTAGCTTAGAGATATTTACATATATACATGAGCAGAGGCTTGCTGCCTTTACATTTTGTCAGGTGCCTAGACCTGGTTATCTGCTATGATTATGTTTCTCTTAGAATAAACATGCTCTATGATAGTTCTGATGCCCTGTGTCTGTAGTAATCCTGAAGAAGGTCTTTGAGGCTTTGTGATCCCCGGAACTAAGGAAGGAAAGCTCTGATGGAAGAAGTGAGTGGACAGTCGTGGATGTAATGTGAAACATCTGCTGAAGAAGCTGAAGCACTGTAGGCGCATTTTACGTTTTGATGGCAGAACCTGCTGAGGTATGTGGGAAATCTTCCTTGATTTGTGAAAGCTTGTTGTAGATAGAGAAATCTGTTTTGAGCCTTTTGGTGGAAACCAAGGGAAAGATGGAGTAGGTGTGTCAACCAGTGTTCTGAGTCGTCCCAGCGAGCTTGCCAGATGGACATGAAGGTGCAGAAGATCTTGCGTTTGGCAGCGACTATGGACAGTGGTATCTCTGAGTCAACGAATGGGTGACTTCTTTAGCTAAAGAGTCGGCCCTTTCATTACCCTGGGTACCTTGATGACTTCATACCCAGCATAGAGACACTTGCCTGGAAGAAGACAAGGTAATAAGCACTTGTTTAATGAAGAGATGTGGAAGGCTTGTGTGCCATTCTTGTTCAGTGTCTGTAGGATGCTCATGCTGTCTGTGTAGAAGCTGAATGATGGAAAATTGGTGTTGCCTGCCCAGAGAGCTGCCTTCTTTTAATGCTTCCTATATGTATACAGTACAAAGTCCATAATCCGGACTCGTCGAAACTTCGGCGACTCCGGATTATAGATCATCACTTTAAATCTGGTAAGATTGCATGCAGAAATTATACAATTAATAATATGAAATCGTAATTTGTGAAATAAAGAGCAATTATGATCTAAAAGGTATCAAAATTTACAAAAAAAAAAAAAAAAAGCTTAATATTTATTTGTTTACTTTATGAAACATTTCTTTCAGTGTAAGTTGTTTAAGATGCTTCCACAAAAAATTCCTTTGTGCCATCTGATGCCATACTCCTCGCATAATTTTGAGATGGTTATGCCTTTATCCATTTTTTTGCAGCAATTCCTCTTTTTGTTTGATGGACATCGAAACATGCTTTCGCTTTGTAGATCCTTTGGCAGCTCCAGAATTGGAAAATCTTTTTGACATAATCAAAATATCAAGCTTAATTTTTATAAAATTGCTCTAACAGTCTGCAAAAAATAATAAGCCGGATCCAATTAGAAGATTAAGGAATAGCGCAAACTGCAACATTAACTGATATGCCTTAGAATCAGTAAAGATAATTTTAGCCTAGCTTATACCATCCATTATACATTAACCCCTCCCCAAGCGTTAGGGCCTTTCAGGAAACGGCACAAAAAATAATTGTGTGTACTCACCTGGTCTGTTGCAGAAACGGCAAGTATTTTTACTCTAACTACTTCAAGAGCGGTCCCCCCTTACCATGTGGATATAATTAAGCTAATTCTCCCCTCCGTTGAATTTAGCGAGTGAAATTAGTTTTTCTCCTTATGGTATCTTCGTTACATGACTGGTTGCTAAAATGGTATTTTATCTTCTATTTGGCTACTTTATAATTTGCATACTAACACATATGCTGTATATTACACGTACTTTAATCAAGATATGTGCCGAATACAGAAAGTTAGTCAATATACATCATACATATAAGAGAAGCTACTTAAAATGCTTTAAATTTTCAGTTTCTTTAAGGAATTGCTTCGATAATGGTGAAAAATTAATATAGCATTTTTTATCGTTATTTTCTGAGAAAATACTTTTTAATATACAAAGGAAATTTGTGAAAATTTTTTTCTCTCATGTTCCAATTTTTCGACTACAAATTATTTGCAACTTATTTTAATATTATGTTTATTTTTAATTTTAAAATATTCTAAGTTCATTCCAGTTTAAAGGATTATATTTAAATAATTCTTTAGATTGCATCATAAATTTATTAGTAGCTAGTTATTTATGACATCGTTTTGACTTGTGAGGAATAAATAAAATATTGTACTCACGAAAAATTTCGATTTTCATATTTCAAAGGAAATTTCCATTTTGACTAGTTCCATCATGACATTTACACATACGTATGTCACATAACTTCAGCATAAAATGTTAAAATTTTATATTTTGAACTTATGACTAGTTTTAGCGTGACCACATATCCGTACGTATGTACGCATGTATATCGCATAACTCAAAAACGATTAACCGTAGAATGTTGAAAGTTTTTGTATCGGATTGGTATAACATTTAATTGTGCACCTCTCTTTTTTATTGCAATCGGCAGTGCCAAAGGGGCATTTTGAAATGGAAGCTCATACCTCATTTTCAAACGAAATACGTTTAAATGAAGTTTAGCAAAAATTGCGTTTAATTTATTTGGCGTACAAGGAAGTCATGTGGTGTCCGCATCAGATTTTTTAAGATGTTTCAAAATAAATAAATTATAGTTTGAATATCAAACGATCTCAAATATATGAGCTTTATTTGTTTATAAATATTTTACAAGAAAGATAAGAAGTAATCTCAATAGCATATCTTTAAGAGAATCACATTAAATACACCTTTTTTAAAGCAAAATTTAAAAAATAAGTGATTAAATTTTTTAAAAATCGTTTTTGTAAAATATTACATATGAAACCAGATATTGTTTTCAGAAAGACAATTTATAGAGTGATTATGTTTTTTTGATGCAAAGGAAGTGAAAAATTAGCAATGCCCTTGCCGGGACTCGAACCTGGACCTCTTGAATACTCGCTGAGAGTGCTAGCATTACACCATGAAGGATGCAGCGAGAAGTTAGAAAATACCTTATATACTCCGCCTCTTAAAGGCCGACTGGAGATTAGGAGACCCAATTGCCAAATCCTGGTGGTGAAGAATCATCATCCATCCCCCTTTTTTTTAGTTCGGACACCACTGTAAAACACTAGGTTATTTGTGGAGACACATAAAAAATGAGCAAAGCCCTAGCCGGGACTCGAACCTCTCGAATATACTCCGAATGCGCTACATTACACCACAAAAGTATGCAGAAGGGAGAGAGAAAGTACCTTATAAGTTTAAGGAAAAAAATATTGTTTTAAAATGAATATCGCACAATAATTTCCACCTTAAATTGTCTTTCTGGAAAATATTTTTTGTAATATTCATTTTAAAATTCTTCTAAAGCAATATTTCTATACATTAATTTGATAGTCTTAAAGTTATGGTATCTAAATGTATGTATAAGCAGTCAGTTAAAAAACACAATATAACAAGGGCACAAGATCTACATAAAGATCCATTTCTATCGTCTATTTCCATCTATTCTACGATCAGCCAAAATAGAGTTATAATTATCCTCCTGAATATTTGAACAAGTAAAATATGTCAGTATGGCATACGCGAACAAGTAAAATTATCTCGTTACTGTTAGGGATGTTGAAAGTGAAACTTCCCTTAAAAAGGCGGCAAAACATTTGACAGTTTTAGATTTAGTTTATTTGATTACGGCAAAGCAAGAAAGTATTATTTTACTAACGAAAGTATGTCTTTGGGGAGAACTTCCCAAGTGAAATTGGCTGGTACTGATGTTACACAGCAGGAAAACCACAGAAGCATCCATGCAGTCAACCTGTTTGCCAGAACTTGAGTCCGGGTGGTCGAACTACCAGTGTTCAACGATATTACCGCTCGACCTTTGGCTAACCCATATCTATTTCAGAAAATGTGACTTCGCGTGCTATATTAGAATTTTTAAATCTATGTAACATGCAAATTATTTAGCCAATGCAATGTATTAGCAAATTCTTTAATGACTTGATTTTTGTAGTTTTCTACGAAACTGGGTATTCTGCTGGCTGACTGGATAAGACCACAGAATCTAATCCTTCAATATGGATTCAAATCATGGCGTACAGCCTAACTACATAGGAACATTTAGGATTTCTCCATGTGAAATACGATTATGAGGCAAGTTTCCTTTCAGAATCTTCCACGAAAGCATTCCACTTCTTAGTCAGATGATTCAAGAATGTTTCATCGTTTTCAATTAAAACAAAAGATGCAGTGAGAATGCATCCTTTGTTTTAATTATTGTTGTTTTAAAGGATGCAAGCTTCTCAGGAAGTACGATGTAGAAGTATACTACATTAATCATTTATTTTTCCAAAATATTCTTATTAAAAATCTATTTAACAATAATTATATTGTTTATATACCCTAGTAAATTATGAATATTTGTTTAGTTTCTTGTCATCTCTGTTTCTGTGTAATATAAAAATTCTAGAATTCAGAATTTTACACAAAAATAAATTTTTTCCGTAGTTACAAATATAACGTTTGCAGTCGAAATTATTTAAGATAAATACAATATTTTTTTTTTTTACAGCACCAGTATGCCTTGGCTTATTTGACTAATGTAAAGCATACTAGGGCTATTTGCCTAAAAGGAGGGATGCCTTCATTGGAAAATTCAGAATTAGTATTCAATTATTTCAATGTCAAGATGCCTCCTGAAATCTTTGTCATAAATATTAAAATTTTAAAGCCCTAAATCATAGTAAATACAGTTTCTGAAACTTATTATATTCATACGTTTTGCAGTC